CAAAGCTACTGAACCTGAAAGAGGTTCCTCTGCTTTGGGTGGAACCCTGTGTGGGTATCCTCTGCTGGTTAGGACACTGACAGGCAAGTCAACATTCAACTGCCTCTGGTACAAGTGAGCTTTCCATATGTTCTGATATGTGCCCAGGACAGGAAAAGTGGAATTTCACCATTCGAAGAAAACTTGACTTGTCCTAACCCTTCCCCAGGTGTTTTTTTTCCAAGTGTATCTAACCCCAAAATGAAAATGTCACATATTGCAGGTTCCCAGCCCTTAAATGTGGTGGCTGCATTAGTTTCCAGGCTTTATTTTCACCTGGTGATGCAGATAACACACTTCCTGCCTTAGGGTGACAACATTCACTGTACTTCATCTGAGGAGGAGCAGTGTTGTCACCTGAGACTTTTACCCTGATTTGGACTACAAGCACCTCCTCTCCATTGCTTGGAAGAGGGGGGAGGTAGTTCACAGAAAGCTGTGTAAGCTGATTATACTGTTTTGAGATTTCAGTTCACCAACACGTACACTGGATTTTTAGCAGGATGAACAGGTATGGCACCTCTATGGATTTAGCAGTCCGATGGGGGAAATTAGAGGTTCAGCTATTCAGGAAGTCAGTTTAAAGGGATTGTATGGAGTTTTTTTTTGTTATAGTCAGGACCAAGAGTTGAAAACAGTGCACATCGGTAGGAGGGGGGGTAACCTTTAAACCTTTTCTTTGCAGGGAAAGGTGGTTTATAATCTTTAGGTAGTGACAGAAGTACTTTGACCTCTTTCTGCTGGTAAGAGCTATCCGTTTAAGAGATTGTTACATGGGTTTCCCCATCACTCTACGTGATAGGCTGTCGCAGTGATCACGTGATTGGGAGCCCGTCCCCCAGAGGCGTTACATGGGTTTCCCGATCACTTTGATAGGCTGCCACAGTGATCACGTGATTGGGAGCCCGTCCCTAGAGGCATTACATGGGTTTCCCCATCACTTTGGCTGCCACAGTGATCACGTGATTGGGAGCTCGTCGTACTGGCCCAGAGCTGTCGGTGACAACGTTTTGACAGTGCTGGGGGTACCATTTGGCATGCTCCCAGCACAACACAGCATTGGTGGCTGAATGCATATATGTGGCATCACACCATAAGACCCTCAGCCCTGCTGTCACATATTTGTATACAGCTGGCGTTAAGGAGACACATTACGAATCATGAACTTAAGCCTCCTTTTTACACATTTTCAGCTTTGTAACTCCGGTTGTAAAAAAAAAAAAAAGGTTTACAGCCCTCAATAGCTCAAGCTGGCGTCTGAGCACAAAAGAATCACAGTAGAGGCTCCTCCTCTTTTCAAGGATCCAATCAGGGACGGCATCCCTGAAATAATACGATTTTCTTTCAATTGCTCCTACTGCCCTGCAAATCCCGTGTCATGTATAAAAGGTTTATATATGAAATAAATATTGTGCGCTTATAGTAAAAAAAAAAACCAAAAACAAAACATCAATTTAAAAGCGCTACAAATCTCCATCATGTAAACGCTGAATTTTCACATTCGGATTTTTTTTTTTTAAATGATGGCGTCGTATTTTTCTTTCCCTTTTAGGTATTCCAAGGACCTGCTCCTCTGAGCCGACGTCTTAGAACTCCGATCGTCCCCCGGGCTTTCAGCTCCATGATTCCCCACTGTGCTTTCTTCTTCCACAACCAGCAGACCATAAATAGTTTATTTTGTAAAACACTTTCTACGGCAGATATAATAGAGAAAGTGAACTTGTCACCCGCTCCCATATCACAATGCCGTGACTTGATCCGCCTGCCTCTGCCTCATGAAGGGTCATTCTACTCAGAGCTGATACCTGGGGAAAGCTGGACAGTTAAAGGGAATCTTTCTGGAGAGAAACGTGGAGGCCGCCATTGCTGACCTGTGAATGTTGGTTGCCTGATTGGTTAAGCTTTTGTCTTACTTACTTGCAACTCCCATACTCCCATGTTTCCATTAAGCTCCCTCTTCCTTATGTCTCTCAGGAGCTCTGCTGGTGAAATCTCAGCACAGCAGCTACATAGAATAAATAATAATAAGGGGTGGGCGTCATTTTTATTTCCAACCTCTGCTCATCACAGAGCTCAGCGATTTGGGTCTCCACAGGTCTGACACCCCCCCCTGCACAACGCTCCATGTCTGAGACACCACTTGCACACTACTCCAATCAACATGCTCCCATGCACACCGCTCTAGGCCTGACACCCCCACCTGCACACCGCTCTA